GCATTCCCCCGGAGGAGCTGGAGGAAGTGTCTGAAGAGAAGGAAGTCTGGGCATCTTTGCTTAGACTGCTGCCCCCGCAGCCCAGTTCTGGATAAGCGGAGGAAAATGGATGGATGGATGGATGGATGGATTAGGATCTTTGGGAAAGAGAGACAACACCCAGACCAGGAAAACTGGGGCCTGTTCCTGGAGCCAGGGAGGAGTGGCAAATTATAGTTAGTTGTTTGGGCCAGTTTGATGGGAAATAGTGCTTGCATTAGAGAATACTGCAAGGAAAGGCCACATATTGTATGCTCCTGTTGTATAGTTAGTCAAAGGTGCTAGATTAGGCTATTAGCTACTGTAAATGCCTAAAATCCAGCACCTCACACTGCTGGTTTGGATCCTCGTTGTTGAGAATTAACTTAATTGTTCACTTCACTTAGGTTCTCATGCTACTCTCTGTTCTACCATTTTATTTATTTTGCTGCCCAAATGGCAAGAAAACATAATGAGAACTGCTTCCTGGAAAAAAATTCAAGCAAAAAACTCCGGACTGGTTGCCTGAAAACAAATCTGTTATGGTCAGTCAGAGGGAGGTACCCTAGGTGAGGAATGACCTTCTCTGTGCTGGGTGCTTGCTGCTAAAAGGCCACAGCTGTCTCCCTAGACACCATCCCTATGGCAACGTTTGTGTACTTCTAGCAGCTGGGCCATTCAGATGATAGTCCTCATGATGATATGGGCTGTCCCAGTGCAAAGAGGACAAATGTCTAATCAATAATCCCTAATAGCCATGTTGGCTCAGCTGACCCAGTAATTTCCATTTTTAACTCCCTCTAATCAAACATGCACAGACACACCAGGGTTAATAATAGTCCAGTGTAATGTAAAACATTTCAGCTGGAATAATAACTAGTGTACCACCACCCACAGGATATTTAGAAAATTCACAGTGGTTTTGACTCACAAGGCTGTTTTAACAATTGATATTAAACAGGGCGTGTGTAGGCTGAGCTTGCTATTCTTTCCTTAATTGAATCTGGACAGTGTTCTTTCAGATGGCTCAAGCTAACTACATTATCTTTTAATCCAGTCCATTTCCCAGTCTATTTCTGGTCTTCTGGTTTTTAAGTAAACTACAGAAAGCTAAAGCAAAACACTATAAGCTTTAGAAGCAACAGTTCTAAAATAGAAAATCATATTTAAGGTATTTTCCTAATGTGTCTAATGTGACTAAAGCAATAAAACTAATGGGTAATCGTTTGTGAATTTTGCAGTGAGCATCAACCAAACTTTATCTAGTCCAGTTCTTGTGAGGAAGACTCTTGACAGATCGCTGTGACCTGCAGGTGACTGACAGACACCAGCAGGCTATTTTTCAAGTTAGCCTTTAACTTTGAAATGTGGAAGAAAGTACACAGTCAAGAAATTGGCAGTCTGTTTGCAAATGTTGTTAATCAAACTGCCACATTTCTTTTTTTCAGCAAAATTGGCAGCCACACCTCAATGCCATGATAATTATTGGGCTACAAATGTAATTATCAATAGTCAATTCTAGAAATGTGTCCATTGGACCGCTCTTAAACAACATCATCAAAAAAGGCAAAAAAACAAAAAAAAACAAAACTCTACTTGACTCACTGGTAGGAACCACAGGGATCCAAGTCATACCTAAGAAGGATTCTTGTAATATTTGTGCCCATATTTCACTGTCTGTGTTCTAAATCTGCTTCACCAGTAGAGAGAGCCAGCAATGGTGGTTGATCGAGCTACTTTGTGAATGTTGAGAGAGAGCAGCGCTAGCAAATGAAAGCAGTGCTTCAGAGAAATAAAACATTATTTTCTGATTGTTTAATGGCCATTACTTTCTAAAGCACACATAAACATGGCCACACCATCACAAAACCCTGCAGGAAGGATTTTATGTGAATGCAGTTTTATCCTCCTGGCTACATTGTTGTTGTGTGTCTGCCCTGTACTTTGTGTGTAGCTAAGCCCACACTCAGTCAAACAGGCACACAACTCATATTATGCTGGTCAAACTACCATGAGAGTATTGCTTTTAGGTATAAATGCATTGTGGGTAAACTGAGCTGCCTTGGCAGAGGTTTCTGAGTGCCCTCTAGTTCCAGGTCTGTCCCCTTTCTACTGTCTATATATATGACTTTCCTTTTGTGCCCATCCTCTCCCAGCCTACTTCTTCATGATCTTTTTGTTACCCACACCCAGGCAGAAAGGTTGACTGAGGCCACAGTTCTGGCCTGTGCAGCTTCATGCCTGCAGTAATCTAAGCAGATTTGATGTGAGTCAAGGAGAGCCATGCCAGCCCATAATCAAATTTCTGACATTTTTTTGAGTTCATTCCAGACACAAATTTTGAAATGAGATATACTTCTTCCTTGTAGTGAGTGGATCACATTTAAATAAAAACAGCAATGTAATTAAAGTTTTCCTTATGATGACTATTGGAGACATCCGGACCCACTGCCACAGTAAGAAGCTGTTACATTTTATTGTAGTTTTAATGTACAGTAGTAACCCTTACTGATCCTGAAGGGTGTGGTCATGTTTCATACAATACAACTTGTGTGTCATGCAGAGTATTTTCACCTCTACCATTACTGTGCATTTAACCTTCAGTTCCAGCCAAATGGAACTCTACATTATGAACTTTAAGTGATTTACAGCATATACTCAGACTTAAAGCTTTGTGACATCTTTTCATACTACACCTGAGTCGTGATTGCTCAAAATCAACATAAATACACTTAATATAGGTCACAGTGCTGCTTCCTAGGCAACTAATGCGTTCAGTCTTCTTTGATTTGTATCTGGCTATAGAAATAGCAGAGAAAAAATCAGTAATGGCAGGACTGTGTTCATCTGACAAATACAGACACATAGTTGCATAAATGATGAGCGTTGGCTTGACTTCAAAATGTACAATGGTGCAGATGTCCAAAACAAATTTGCTGTCCATCTTGCAGGAACCATATCACCTATTAAAAGTTTGTTTCTGAAGAAAAATGTGATAAAATTTTGCATGGTCAAAATGCAGGGCCCTTGTGGATTAATTGAAAATCCCTTAAACCAGATTAAATCACATTAGAGCCTATTTGTGGTATACCCACATTCATTCACACTCACACATACACT